CATGATGAACCTGACGTATACTCAGAGCAGTAGTTACTCTAAATACCAACAGAGAGGGAAAGAGTCTTCAAATCAAGTATCAATGCTATCCACTCTGTGCACAGGGTAGATAGGGATGGGCAACTTAGACATTGGCTATCTAACATGAGGGGACAATAAAGTCACAAAGTGACTGGCTTACAAGGTTTCAAGAGGGAGCTTAGTTTAAGAGTGTGGTGGGGGCGAAGAAAGAGTCCCCACTGAAGAGCTATCATCTTGTCTAGATGGGTCTGGTGAAAAGAGATGGGGATAAGGCTCGTAAGATTCAACAGGGAATAATTGTTATCATGACTAATTGCGACTGTCACAATTGTAAAGGTAGAAGTTTTGTAATAAAAACAGGGGAGTGGTTAATCTTACAGTCCAGAAACAGAGGACCCTAGGACCATCAAGAAAGGAACGCACAAGCAGAATGCAGGACCTTATCCAGAGAAGCAGTAGCGCCAGAGATGGACGTAGAGATGGGGGCATGGAGATGGGGAGCAGCTGAGGATTCTAGATTCATCAGCTAAGAAGAAAAGGACTAAGAACTGGTGGCCAGGAGCAGACTTGCAGACTGTGCCCTTTGGAGATGTAAAATTATTATATATGCCTGAGTGGGTTTTTTTGTTTGTGTGTTTGCTTGCTTTTTAAAAAGCTAAAGTGAATAGAGAGAAATACTGTTAACTGATGGTTCATGGAGTGAATTATAATCGTTGTAATGAAACAAGGTGTATGATTTGTTGAATGTAAAACTGATGATGTGCCCTGTAAACTTTCACTCGATCCACAAATAAAAACCTTAAAAAAAAAAAAAGATACTATGAGTTGGGGTCAACTTGTTGGCCGCTAGCCACAACATAAAACTGCAATGAAGAGCTCAACAAAAAAATAACAGAATTTGCACAAAGGCAATTCACAAGAAAGTGCAATTTCTGATCAACATAAAGACGTGTTCAACTTCACCAGGATGCCGATAAAGACGAAATAGCACACTCGGGCGTCATTTTTCTTCTATGTGACTGTGATAAGTACCAGGAAAATGCCCACCGCTGGATGTGGTGGGAGACATGCCCCATGGGTGGGGTGCATTTTAGGCGTGGCATCTGGTATCATATCCTAAAATGTAACCCTCTGAGCCCTTCGCCAAGGGGATAACTGCACATGTGGAAACAGCTGGAGGAACACAGTTCTCCCTTCCAGTATCGCTCTGGGCTGGTGCAGCCCCTTGGAGAGGGCATCAGGGGCAAGGCCGGCAGAGTGGCCCCCAGGACAGGACCTCTCCTTCCGGCTCTTGCATTTCTGCCAGAGAGCAGCTATGCTTTCACAGAAACAGCTGTAGCCTGGCCAGAATGCTGACCTGGTCTCAGCAGGTCCTTAAGCCAGCCCGCCCCTCCTTAAAGACAACCCATCTCTTCCTGGCGGGTAAACACAGCTGGGCGTGTCCTCAGCAAACCAGTAGACAGGCGCCCCAGTCAGGACTGGGGGCTCCCCTAATGGAGGTGGGGTTGTGCTGAACTGACTGCCCTGGGTGTCCACCTGCCTCGAGGGCAGGACCCGGTCGGGGGCTGTGGAACGGCAGGGCCTTGGGCTTGGACACTCCCATGTCGCCTGTGCCCTATGCATCCTCCACTAAGAGCAAAGATGGGAAGAAGCGATGCGACAGCAAAAGGCCACCACGGAAACCCTCCAGGAAGCAAGTGGCCTTTGTTCGGGACCCGAGTCAACATGCTGTCCTGTGCTCACCTGCATTGGTGGTAGCTGCCCACGCTGTCTTCTGACCAAGTGTCCGGAGCTCCCTCACGCTGCTTCTCAGCTGTCTATGCTTCCTTGCGGGGACCAGGCCAATCCTGCCTCAGAAGGAGGTTTGGGCTTGGTTCAGCAAAGGCCTCCCATGCAGCTGGTCTGCGCTGGCCCCGATGAAAGGGTGCTGCCAAAGCGATATCCTCACAGCTACTTGGCTGCCCAGGGCATCACTCCCGCAACCACCTGTGCCACCCCAATGCCCGGCCAGGGGCTCACGCCTGCACGTAGATTCCTATTGAGCCCCCACCCTCCACAGTGCAGCCCCTCATAGCCACACCGCCTCTATCCCACCTGGCTGAGGCCTGGCGCACACACGTGTACAGAATCACACACAGGTGGACGTGTGCAGACATGTACGCAGGCAAGGAGCACACTCGCAGGCTACAGTCAGAATATGGCCCATGGTCCCCATGGCTCCTGGCCCTGAGCTGGCCGACCCTCGGCTCAGGGTGCCAGGTGGCATCTCGGGCAGCAGAGACCAGCTGAAACACGACGTCACGAAAGCCTCACTTACTTTTTTTTTTTATTGATTTCATTGAAAACAGAACAAGAAATGGTCTGAGCCAAAAGCTCTTAAAACTGTCAAAAGCTCTTAACAGAAAAAAGAAACATGACCGCATTGTGACTGCTTAGAAGAGTCGCACAAAACCCCACGGCTACCGCACTAGTTACAGTATCGAAAAAGATATATGCCAAAAAAAAGTATGTGACCGGCCGGGCCACCACACAAAAGGTGATGGCAAATTTATTCACGCTACAAGACTAACATCTTAAAAAAGGTTTTCCTGCATTTTATTCTAAAACCACTTTGTTCTTGTGTACAGTTGGTATTTTACGTGGTGAGGAGAAACCACGCCAGGTCAGCACCATCGTCTGTGTTTATTTTTCATCCGTCTTCATGGTCAGTGATGGCAGAAAAGAGCCAGTTTCCTCAGGGCTGTCGACAGCAGGTGGCCAGGAAAGCGAGGTGGTCTCGCGGACCATCTGTCCTTGCCTTCACCAAACTGGTCTCTTGAGGCTCGAGACACGGCTAGACACAGACTTCCTGTAAAGAGCAATCCAACGCTCCCTTGGGAATTTCCTCTGGGGGTGTGGCGCTGCCCCGACCCTCTGGGATGACCATGTGGGCAGCCCTGAGGTGCCGGTCGGCGTCGGGAGACGATGCTTTGGCAGGCTTGCACAGACCTCTTCCCGGGAACACTGCCGACAGCGTCACAAAGCCAGAGGAGGAAACGGGAGCCAAGAGAGCGACAGGGTGGCGCCATCCCCAGCGTCCAAAGTTCCGCTTGGCCCTGAGCGTGTTCTGCTGTGAGCGGCGGGTGTCCGTACACTCAGGATGGGAGACAGCAGTGAAGTCCAGCTCCCCTTGGGGAGACTCCTATCCTCTAAAGGTCATCCACACAGTATTGCGCTTCCCGCCCCGCTGCCCTCATAGGGGGTCGGCGGAGGCAGAGGAGCTGGTGTCCGGCAGGCCGTTCTCGTGGGTGTCCGCCTGGGCCGAGCTGGCCTGTCGCTGCACCAGGGCTGAGCTTGAGCGTCGGCACTTGGGGGACCCACACTGGCAGCTGAACAACTTGCCTTTGATGTCCCAGAAGCGTTCTCCATAGTCAAACCTGGAGATAGAGTGGGTTGGACTCAGGTGCCTCCCAGCCCAGGGCCTGGACGGTGAGGGGGCCACTCCACAGTCCTGCCTCAGGGAGGAGAGCCACGGGCTGCCCACGGGTCCAGTGGAGTAAAGCCTCCCAGCGCTCCCGAGGTCTCTGCAGTTGACCAGGACTGTGAGCCCTGAGCCAGCATTCCAGAGGGACGTGTCTGCTGCAGGACAGGCCCAGGCTGGAGACGGGGTGGGGTGGGCTCACACCCATGCCGACCCCCAGCTCTGGTCTATGCAACCTGTCAACATTCCAGAGCCCGCTGCCCAGCACACGCCCCTCCCCTCTAACGCACACAGTCCCCTGGGGCACCCGCAATGCCTACCCCAGCTGCTCGCCAGCCACGATGGAGCGGGTGCTAAAGAGCGCCACACGGGGGAAGCGCAGGTCCTGGTGGGACATGAAGACACGCACGGGAACCAGGTTGGGCTCGCAGTGGTGGTTGATGAAGCGGCTGACGTTCCCATAAAAGCGTGCATCGATGCAGTACACGTCCCCGTCCTGTAGGACAGAGCTCAGCATGGACCCTTCAGCAATGGCCACGGGGACACAAGTGCCCACTAGACCCCACTCCTACCTTGTTGTCAAGGTCAAAGAGGTAAGAGTCCTCTTCCCGGACGTCAGCCTCTGAGTCGGAGATGAGCTCCCCGACGTACCTGTAGGGAGAGGTGCGCTCTGTGTGAGGAAGCTGCTGTCTTCTCCCTTCACAGTCAGCGAAGGAACAAACAGGTAAAATGGCTGCCAGACATGTGTCTGCAACTGAACAGGGTTAAACGGCTTCCAGGCACAGAAACCATGGAGCCCGAAGTCTGGAGCAGCCCTCTGGTGGCAGGGGCCCAGTGTCAGCTGGACTCTCCACGCAGGCAGACAGAGAGGCAGACAGACAGACAGACACACAGGCAGGCAGGCGACAGGCAGACAGATAGGCAGGCAGACACACAGACGGACAGACAGGCAGACGCTGTAATGCAGAGTGCAGGGAGCCCATAGGAGAAGCAGTGCCGGGGGAGGCTTGCCCTGAACCGTGTTCCTGGAGGCCGAGGTAGACAGGACACTGAGGGGCCAGCAGGCCCGCCCTCCCGTACCTACTGCAAGTCCTGGGCCAAGGGGAAGCACTTGTCTGAGGAACTCTGAGCACACACAAGGCTGAGAGACGCACAGCTCGGGCACACCCCACTCCTCCTAAACCATGAGGGTCCTGGCCCGCCCACCCTGGGGGAGACGACATGATGGATGTAGAACAGCAGACATGGAGGGTCTGTCAGTCCCAGGGCCTCAACAGCCCTCCAAAGCGACCACCCATTGAGCTCTGGGTCTTGTTGGGAGCATGTGCAGAGGGACTTGAGCCCAAATCCCAATTCCACCAGTGCCTCATTACCCTCCATGCCCTGGTCCTGCCCCTCTCAGGGGTATGACTTGGCCCCTACCTTCCGCAGCCCCTCAAGGCTACCCAGGTCAGGGATGGGACTCACGTACTCGCAGACAAAGGTGCCCGCTGGGATATCCTGCAGAGCCCGCACACCCCAGCCCATGTTGTGTGTCCGAAAGAGCTGTAGCCGTGCCCTGGAAGCAGAGAGGGGCTCAGTGGTCAGTACGTGGACTTGCCTGGCTCTGGGGTAGTCCACAGGGTCACCACCAAGTGACACGAGGAAGGGAACAGACACAGGAGCCCGACTGTGATGGGAACAAATCACGCCCCAGACACTTGTTCACACATGTGTGCACGACTGTGGGCGCATCTTAGTAAAGACAAGGATGGAACAGAGGACTGTGGGAGGCAGAGTAGATACAGGATCCCAGCCCCAAAGCCCCGAGCCTCTCCGGAGCTCAGGACCACATGGATGCAGCTGGAGGAGCCACCAAGGCCTCGTGGGAGCTGCACACGCTCCACCCAGGTGTGACATGTGGGGCCCAGGTGCGTGCGAATATGTCTGTGTGTGCGCACGCAGGCGCACGGTCTGTCCTCCGCCACACACAGAGGGAGGGAGGTGGGCTGAGCGCCAGCTCTCTGTTCCCTGGTTACTAATGTTGGGAACAAAACCAAATTTGATGGAAGTTAGTATTTAACTCAAGTTATAGCACATGTAACTTTCTTCTTCACAATAACCGGGGCCCAGGGAGGAAAAGGCTTGAGGGCTGAACTTGGGCCGAGGATGCAGGAGAAGCCTAAACAGAACAAGCAAGCCTTCCGTGAGGAAGGAGACTCTCATGGCACATGGCAGTGCCACTAGGGGCGGCAAGGACAGTGATGTAAAGACCACTGGAGGACTGAGAAGAGAGCACAGTAACTGGATTGGGAGGAGACATCACCGACGCCCACGCTAAATTCATTTCTGCTTCTTAGCTCAAATGAGCCAGTCTGTTCCTTCTTGCAAATTTAAAGCTGAAAGTATCAAAATGTAAGTCTAAGGAGGAGAAAGCAATTATTTTAATAATTTAAGACGAATGCAACACTTCTAGAGGAGATATGGTTAGCGCTGCATTATCAGTTCTGTGTGCACGCAGAACTCCCAGGGGATCTGGGCTCTGAAGCTGTACAGCTGAGAGTGAGGGGACTGCCACCTCACCTGAGGCCGTTCTGTACGACCCGGTTTCGGCAGTTCCTCCAGCAGGCGCAGGCGTGGTTGCATTCGAAGATCAAGGGCGGCTCAGCCATGTTGAACTCCGGCAGGAGGCGGCCATCCTAGGGAGAGGCACACGTAGCTTTAGCTGCTGCCCGCTCTGCTGGCCGCAGTGACATATGACTCCCCACAGAGCACCCAGGGTGGTTCAGCCAACATCAAAACGATTATTTCTAGTCAAAGCAGCACCCGAGGCTCCAAGGGTGGGCTGCACACAGAAGATGATTTCTAAGGAAAGCGTCAAAGTGCATGCCAGCACAGCTTTCCCAGAACCTTCTGGGCCGGCACACCCTCACCCGGAGCCCAAGAAGCCCACCAACGGCTAGCCATGTCCCTCCCTCTCTGGCTCCCTTTCTGGTGGCCTGCGGTCATCTGTCTCTCTCAGCCTTGCAGACTCTGCAGAAAGCCAGCTCCCTCCACTGCCCCGGCCCGTTCTGTGGGAGCTTTGAGACCCTCGTAGACATTGTCAGCCTGGGCAGAGCCCTGTCTGCTGCCCGCTCCCTTCACCCCGTCAGCCTGCCAGACTGCAGACCACCACCACTCGCAGCTTCTGTAAGCTCTCCCTGGCCTCCTCGGACAGAGACCCTGTGCCCTCCCCGGACTGTGGGCACTCATCCACCCTTAGCACTCGGCCTCTCGGGTAGCTTGACACAACGTGCTCAAAGTAGACCGCCAAACACACAAGCCCATCCTTCCTGCAGCCCCAGCCCTGACCACCGAGGATACCCCACAAACAGACACCTGCCTGGTGGGCATCTGGCACGGCTCACCTTGTCGTACCAGCAGCGCATACTGAGCTGACCGCACATGCAGTTGCTGGCCGAGCAGTCGTCGATGCACACGCAGTACTGGGGGCAGAAGGGGGGCAGCTTCAGCGGGCCGCCTCTGTCCATAGCCAGGGGCCCTTCGATGGCATGTGCTTCCAGGTGGGAGCGGGGACAGGACAGGGATACAGCAGAGAACTTGGCACAGTGGGGGCAGGGAGAGCACAATCCCAGACAGGAGCTAAAACCAGTCTAGACTGGAATCAAAGGCTGCTGCTGATTGAGAAATGCCAAGGAGATAGGGACCCGCCATGGAAGGAGAGTCAGGGCGTCGTCCTGTCAGGAGGGAGACTTGGGGCTCCGTGGAGCTTGTAAGAAGAGAAGGGGGCTGGGCTTCTGTAAAGCCTAACTTGGATGTCTGCGGGGAGTGTCATGTGATCAGGGCAGGTTTCTTATATGCCAAACCTTGGACAGGAAAGGAGAGAGGCCAAATGTCTCTGGTGGGGAGCCTGCTCTGCAGGCTTCCTTCTGCACCAGGTGGGAGTTGCCGCTTGGTCACCCTGCAGGCACTCGGTCGGTGCCGGGGGTGCTGGGAGAGAAGACCCTTGCAGAGCTGCCCTCCAATGGGCTGGCTCAGCCTGAGCCCCCTGTGCTGACCGTCGAGTGGACCGCTGACCTGCAGGTGGGTGATGTTCCTGTCGATGCTCATGGGGGAGGTCACGCAGTTCTGAGACACGTATTTGTAGTTGCTGGGGCACGGCTCGCTGTCCACCGAGTTGACGCAGGGAATGGGGATGCGCTCGTAACCGCGTGCGATGTCTCTGTGAGGACAGAGCGACTGCTGCTGCCCAGAACCCAGGGAGCCCAGGAGGCCAGCATGGGCCACGGCAGCCTTGGCCCGCTCACCTGCTCACCGTCCGCTCCGTCGGGCCGGGCTGCTCCGGCTCCGAGTCTCGCAGAGCCTTGCTCATCTGCAGGGCTGTCCACACCTGGGAATTGAGGCTGGCACACTGCAAGGGGGTCTCGCCCTCCTTGTTCTTCAAGGTGACGTCAGAGTCCCGAGAAAGGAAGAGGCTGAAAGACAAGATGGAGGCCAACAGGGCACTAAAAACCACAAGCAGGGCCACGCGGTGGCTGAGCCAACACTCTGAAATACCCAAGACACCAGCTGAGCGGTGCCGTGGAGGCACGGGCTTCCCCTCACCCCAGCACACACGGTGCGTCTCTCCCACATCTACCACACGCTGGCCTTCTTAAGTTTCTTTGGAGGATGGACTCTGGCGTTCCTTGAATTTCTCATCCAAATTCATCCTCAAGGACAGAAAGGGGACAAGCCCAAGGTAGAGACTGGCAGGACCCCTGTGTGCAGCACAGAGGAGGACTGACCCAACCTAGGGCTCAGCCTGGCTCCACCCTGACCCCAATAAGGATCAGCACCAGAGAACAAAGATAGGAAGACGGTGGCTCTGACGCCACGCAGGGCTAAAACCAGAAGAATGAAGAGCTCCTCTGTGTTCTCTGTGGAGTCCAGGTCCCACCCACCAGCTGCCCTCCAGGGTGGGCACATATATGTGTAATTGTCACAATGACTGCCCAAACCAGAAGTACAGCCAGACCAAAACCAAGCCATCGACCCAAGGCTACGAATCTTTACGCGAGTCTCATCTGTCTCTCACGGAACCTTGTAGTTAGCAGTCCAGTGCTTATCCTCAACTCCACCAGGGTTCCTTGAAATATACAGGAGCTGCCCTCAAAGGTGAAATGCGCGAGGCCCTCTGCTTGTGTAAGGAGCTCCCCTGGACACCCAGGGGCACATGCATTGTCCAGGGGTCACCAAGTGGACAGCACAGAGGCCTCACGTACACAACACAGTCGTAACGGTTCTCCCGGGCGGCGATGTGCAGCGGCGAGTCCCCATGGATGTTGACGGCGTGAAGATCACACTTGGCTGCGAGCAGGATTTCTGCAATGTCCACACAGCCTGAAAATGCTGCCCAGTGCAGACAGATGTTCTCCTCCTAGACAGAGACGAGGCCATGAGCATCAGCCACCAAAGCCTGGCAGGGCGGAGACGCCCACATGAGCCAGCCTCGGTGCCAATGGCCTGGACACTGCAGCTTCATCAGAGAACAGGACTCAGGAGCGATGGCTACTTACTTTTTAAATTTGTAACTTTTCAGTTTAAAGACAATAGAATTACTGTACAGACAGAAAAACAGTCACCTGGCACACACCATGCTGAGCACGGCACACTGGGAACAGATCATGTAGGGAAACCTTCATTTAAAAATCATCCTTACCTTAAGAGTGAGAATCAAAACAGAGCAATAACAGTAAAGGTTTGAAAAAGACCAATTTAATGAAATTAAAATGTCATTTTATAAAGGCCTCTAGGAAAGAAATCACCACTCGTCTGTCCATCTGTCATCCTGGGGGAGCTTTGTGTGACTGTGTGAAGTCACCAGGATTTCAAATGGCATCAGGGTCACTCATGGTGGGCAGGCTTCAGGGGGGCTTCCAGACTCAGACAGATGAGGTAGAAAAGTCTGGCAATCTCTACTCGGAAATCAGACAATGACAAGTTTGTGGACAACACAGAGCACTGTCCGAGTGGCTTGCTTTAGCCATGTCATCAGGAGGGTCCATCACTGCAGGAGGACATCACGCTGGGTGAAGCAGAGAGCCAACACAGGCTGCTCTGGACTGTCCCGTGAGATGTACAGTCACTGGGAGTGAGAGCCCACTCAGAGGCAGCTATCTATCGACATCTAAAATAAAACTGAATAATGTGTGTGATTTATAATGATCACAGCCAATTTATTAGAACACTGTCATTCCAAAAACTAAACGTACAAAGGACATGAAAATGAAACTTTCCCAGACAGGCCAGAAATACAAGGAGGTTTTAAAAAGTTCAAGGACAAGTGGAGCAGAAAGTTCAAGAATGTTTCCATGAACTTTTTAAAGGCCCCTCGTACACAAGAAAACAGTCAAATACCACTGACTGTCCTCCACTCTCGGGACAGAGGCCCACACCCGCCTCAGCCCCGCCTCCTGCCTGCCCCCCGACCCCGACCCATCCCCACAGTCCTCAGGTCGGGGCCTCATCAGGAAATACGCTCTGTGGGCTTATGTGGTTCGCTCAGACCTGAGAGCCCCCCGAAGTCACGCTGCCATTGACCTAACCCTAAGCTACCCTTATGGACGCCGACGGACTCCCTCTTGAGTTATTAATGCTGCGCATGCTTCAGCACCTCTGGGGGCTATAGCTCCTGAAGGACGCAGTGACTCATCCTGATGTGGGCCCACTGTGGGGTGGACACCAGCTGGCCTGTGCCGGGGCCACAAGCACAGCCGTTCCCTCGCTCGCCCTGCAGCCAGCTCCCACTCAGTGCCTTTCACTCTGTGAGTGTCCTGGTCATCGTCCACCAACCAATAAGCACAGTTGCAAGCCTGGGCCCCTCTCCTGTCAGTGGCTAACCCTTCAGAAGTGGTTCACCTCTCCTCTTCCTTGTCTCTCTCTCAGCAGGAACCTGTCCACCATGGGTGACTCTGCTGTCTCAGCCACACACAAGCCCCCATAGACGGAGAGACTGACAGACGAGTGGTATGCCTATTACAATGGATAAAACTAAACAGACGGACCACTCCATACGACAACGAGATGTGGAGAAGGTGGAACTCTCAAATACAACTCATGGAATGGAAAATTCTGCAACCACTTTGGAAAACAATTTGGCATTTCATGAAAAAGATAAACATACACCTATCATATGGTCCAATTATTGCACCACTAGGTATATATGGAGTCCTGGGGTAGCGCTGCGGGTTAATGCGCCAGACCACAAAGCCATTTGAACTGCAAGACCGGCGGTTCAAGCTCACCAGCTACTCCTCGGAAACCCTATACAGGGTCGCTATGGGTCAGAATTGACTCGATGCCACTTAACAATAACAACAAGGTATATACCCAAAAGAAATGAAAACATATTGTAATACACGAAGATTCTAACATAAACAAACGTGCATGAATACAGGCGGTCTCTGACATGTGACCAATTGTGTGGCCTTTGGTCCATCTTGTGTACCATGTACAGTGTTGGAGCAATTCACTGGGGTCTGCTGTGGCTCTGTACAATAGGCGCTGCTGGCAGCTCGAGCCCACCAGCCACTCCTTGGAAACCCTACTGAGGGTCGCTATGAATCAGAACTGATTCAACGGCACTTCACAACAACACTGGGCAATAAAGGAGTCCTGGTGTAACACTACATGATAAGCACTGGACTGGTAACCCCAAGATAAGTGGTTCAAAGCCCCCAGCTGCTCCTCAGAAAGCCTACACAGCCAGAACCAACTCGACAGCACTTAACAACAACAACAAAAAGTTACAGCCTCGGTAACCCTGTATGGGGTCACTATGAATCGGAACCGACAAAGTGCCCTGGTGACACAACATGGTAAGCACTGCACTGCTAAGCCATCGCCTGTGGAAGAAAGATGATGCTTTCTACTCATGTTAAGATTTATAGCCTCAGAAAACCTCTAGAATGGCTATGAGTGGGCTTTGACGAAGGTGGTAGATTTGGTTGTTTGGTATGGGCAAAATAATGAATGAGACATCAGAAGAAACTGGAAAGAGAGAGGAAATGCAGCCTAGAGCACTGGTCACTATGCAACCATTTCAAGAGGTCACAGATGATAAAGAACCAATGGTACTGAAGGAAGGAGGTCAAGGTGGGATGTAGTGAAGACATAAGGCTCCCACCAAGAAGTCTCAACACTGCAACCGCTCACTCATTTATACTGAAAAATTTGGAAGACAGCTACCCAGCTGCACAAATTTGTGCCCAAAGAAAGGTAATCCAACAGAATGCAAAAATGACCAAAGAGTGTCATTAACACAATTAAAGTCATGCTACAGTTGACTGAAAGATGATTGGCATAAATAGTGCACAGAGACATTCTCACTTTGGTAAGTGAGTGGGACCTTCCAACTTGATGTGCGGCCTTCTAAGGTGCAGCTACTGGTCTCTCTTGATCCCGAAAAAGGAGAGTGATGAAAACTGAAGCTGCTTGAAACAAACAGTCCAGTGGGCTAGTGGACCACATGGACACCAGTCTTCAGGACCCTAGACCAGAAGAACGAGATGGTGCCTAGCTACTACCACCAACTGCTCTGAAAGGGATCACATCAGTAGGTCCCACATAGAGTGGGAGAAAATGCAGACCCAAACTCAAAATCATAAAAAAAAGATGTGGCCTACTGGGGTTAGGTGGAGAGTGGGAGAATCCAAGACCCTGGCCATCTTCCTGTCCAGAACTGAACTCATCCGCGTGGGTCGATTTTTAGCCGAGTAGTGGTAGGGCAGCATTTACCCAGACACCAACTTGAGGAAGGTGGGGAGAGGAGGAGGAGGAGGAGGAAGGAAAGAAAAGAAGACCCACAGGCAGCAAGTGGGATAAGTGAAGCTGTTGTGCGGTGACTGCAATCGAGCCGGGATGTGAAACTGATGGTCTGCTGCGTGGACTCTCCCTCAATTCACAACAGAAAGACGGATGCAGCAACAAGTTGACAGAAATTCACGCTGGATTCAAAGAGGATACGGAACAAGGGATATCACTGCTGATGTAGATCAATTTAGACTGAAAGCAGAGAATACCAGAAAGATGTTCGTTCGCTCGTGTTAAGCACCTTTGAGTCAATTCGGACTCATAGCGACCCTACATAGGGCTTCCAAGAAGTGGCTAGTGGGTTTGAACTGCAGACCCTGCCAGGATCTGTGTGGATCGTACTTAATTATGGATAACATTGTGATGAATAGTGCTCATGAGGAACTTGTACCCAGACTAAGGAACTACTGTGTGATCTAAACCCAGGAAAGGTGTGCGCCAGGCATGCATCTTTCAGCATACTAACTCAATCTGTACGCTGAGGAAATAATCGGAGAAGATGGAGTCCATGAAGAACATAGCATCAGGATTAAGGGAAGATTAATTAATAACCTGCAAAATGCAGATGGCACAGCCTTGCTTGCTGAAAGTGAAGAGGACTCGAAATACTTACTGATGACGATCAAAGAGCACAGCCTTCAGTATGAATTACACCACAACATAAAGCAAGCAAAACTCCTCATGTAGAAATGATTAAAGCTGTCAGAATTTCATTTTACTCTGATCCACAAACTGTCCCTGGGAGCAGCAGTCAAGAAACCAAGACATACTGTACTACGTAAATCTGCTGTAAAAGACTTCTACATAGAAAGATGTCACCTTAAGGACTAAGGTGCACCTGACCCAGGCCATGGTGTTCCCAATAGCCTCATATGCAAGAGAAAGCTGGACAGTGAATAAGACAGAAGGCAGAAGAATCGATGCATCTGAATTGTGGTGAAAATTATTAAATCTACCACAGACTGCCTGACAAACGGCCAAGTCTGTGTTGGCAGAAGTGCAGTCCGAAAGCTCCTTAGAAGCCATGATGGGGACATCAGTCTCAAGTGCTGTGGACATTCTCAGGCGGATCGGGCCTGGAGAGGACCATCACGTTTGGCTAAGTAGAGGGTCAGCAACAGAGGGAAATCCTCAGTGAGATGGATTGGCAGGTACATGCACAACCTGATGGAACCTCATCCCCCAGGACAGGTCCCTCGAGAAGGGCATTTAGGGACAGTAACAGTGACGATGACCCCACCAGGGCCGCAGACTCACATTATCTCGGATGTTGATGTCAGAGCCACTGGAGAGCAGCAACTTCACAAGGTCAACATGCTTGTACTCAGTGGCCCAAATCATTGGTGTCCAGCCGCCATCGTCCTAATGTCAGAAGGAAAGAGTGTGACCACTCCGCAGATGGGACAGCAAGTGCCAAGGACAGGGCAGAGTGGACCCACCCCCCCAGTGCACTCCCAGCAAACACGTGCTGCCGCCCTTGGGGGTGGACTGGGCCCAGGCCTGGGGAGTTACCAGGCTAATGTGATAAACCTGACCACACCCTCCTTCAAGCTTGCGGGGTGGATGTAGTCTGCAGAACAGGCCACAAGTTCAAGTATTAGACAAAACCAGCCCAAGGGAATGCTGACCATCTTGGCTGTGGTTAGAGCAGGGAGCTAAGCTGTCCAGAGGACAGGGGGCACAAACAAGGCTGTTCTACGGGAGCGGCGAGGCCTCACCTGACAATTGACGTCCATCTGTCCATTGGAAAGCAGGTACTGGACCACATCATAGTGCCCCTTCTTGGCAGCCAGGTGCAAACACGTGGAGCCCTCTGCGTCCTGCAACACAGACGTGCCTGAGGCCCCACCCTCCACAAGGGGGATGATAGGGCCACTCCAGAAACACAGCTAGCCTCATCGATATCCTACCCCCCGCCCACCCCAGGGCTTGAAGCCTGCCAGCAAGCAGCAGTATCTTCTGTGGAGAGCTCCAACACGATCCACAGACAGTTTGAGTCTCTTCCTCTGACCCTTACGCCTCAGTGTGTTCACAGCCTCAGCGGTGTTGAAAGAAGAGCCTAGAGCCACAGGGTGTGGGCAAGGAGGGACGCACTGCCGATGCCCCGTCCTGTCCTCAGAGCGACGCATGTTTGTCTCCCACAGATTGTCCTTTCTTTCCCCATGGCCCTCACTTCCAGCCTCCCAGCAGTGGCCCAGCTTTGACAAGCGCCATGACCGACATCCCTATGAAGCCAAGGTTCACTGGCAGCTCTTCTAGGCCTAAGTCCCAGTCACTGGTGCTGAAACCTCAGTTGTACCATAAACACCAAGCACGAGGCTATTAGGCTATGGGGTTTGTTATTTTTGAGCGATCTCAGCTATTTGAGCAGGCACAGCTGAACGAGTCCTGAGATCCTGGAAAACGGTGTAGCCAAGACCGAGAATTGGTCCTGGTGAAGGCAAATTGTTGAGAGATGCCCCAAACGTGCTCTCACCCACCAGAGAGTGAGCCATGTGTTCCCAACTACAGGAAGTTCTGTCCGATGAAAGGCCTACATGCCCTGAGAGAAAAGGTGGGGTAGAAGAGAGGAAAGTGAGAAGGAGGGACGAGGGAGACGTGATCAGGGGGACAAGTGAGCGCAATGAGGGAAAAGACGGAATTTAATGTAATTCTTTTAAACCGTTGTTTATCTACAAACATCTTTATTCTGGTGCAATTCTGGACCAACAGCTTTTCTTTCAGAATGAAAAGGTCTCCTGCTCTGCAGGCTGTCACATGACCAGTTGTAGCCATTCACAGTGCTGTCTGTCTGGCTGCTGTGAAGTTGCACATTAGCTCTGGGCATGGCAGTTCACCAGGATGGGCTGAGGTGTGCTAGTCTTTGTATTTTTCCTACTGGGGGTTTGCGGAGCTTCCTGGATCCGCATGTCAATGTTTTTCACCAAATTTGGGGATTTTATGACAATTATTTCTTCAAAGGGAGTCCTGGTGTGGCACTGTAGGGTAAGTACTGGACTCCTAACCGAAGTCAGCAGTTCAAACTCACCAGCCACCTCTCAGAAACCCTATACTGGGTTGCAATGAGTCAGAACTGACTTGACGGTATTTAAGAACATTTCTTCAAATTTCTTTCCTACAGAATTTCCTTTTCCAGGGACTCAAATAATACAGCAGACAGTTGGATCTGTTTTTCAGATTTTAGCACGTCTGTCCTCGGTCTTCATTTCCAATGACTTCTCCCCTAGGATATTTCATCTGCTGTCAGGAAGCTCACTTATAAACTTACCACTTCAGAGTCTCTATTTCTCAGCCCTAGAATTACTTGATTCTTCTCAACAGGCCTCAACTTTCTGCTAAGACTCTCACTTGTTTGCTGTTACAGCTATGCTATCTCACACACTATTAAAAGCTGGTTCAAAGCCTCTGCTCCTACCACCTGTGGCTGCTGACTTCTTGGATCACATGACTTGTTTCCTACTTCTTATATACTGCAACCTTAGTTAACTGTGTACCAGGTGGTGGATAACTTCTGAGTAGACGGAATCAGCTTATCTTGTTAATTTACCCGAATTATTTTCTGACATTTGCTGTTAGGCTTTGTTAGGTTTGGGGAACTTTAACGTGACTGCTGCTCCTAAACTGAGGTTGAATGCAGTGTGACAAGATTTCTCCATTTTTTTCTTCCTTGTTGTTAGGTGCCATGGAGTTGATACCAACTCATAATGACCCTATGAACAACAGAACAGAACACTGCCTGGTCCTGGGCCAACCTCACAATTGTTGCTACATTTGAGCCCACTGATGCTGCTACTTTGACAATCCATCTCACTGGGAGTCTCCCTCTCCAGCAACTGGTCCCTCCTGACAATATGGCCGAAGTATGAGACACGAAGTTTGGTCATCCTGGCTTCCAAGGAGCACTCTGGCTGTACCTTCATCCAAGATCTGTTTGTTCTTTTGGCAGTCCATGGTACTTTCAATATTCTCCCACACCATAACTCAAATGCATCAATTCTTCTATGGTTTTCTTTATTCACTGTCCAGCTTTCTCATGCATACAAGGTTTTTGAAAATACCATGGCTTAAGTCAGGCACACCTTAGTCCTCAAGCTGACACTTTGCTCTTCAACCCTTTAAAAAGGCCTCGTGCAGCAGATTTGCCCAATATAACATGTCATTTGATTTCTTGACTATTGCTTCCATGAGTATTGATGGTTGACTCGAGCAAAATGAAGCAGTCTGACAACTTCAATCTTTTCTCTCTTTATATGAATGGTGTTTATTGGTCTAGTTGTGAGGAATTTTGTTTTCTTTACATTGAGATGCAATCCATACTGAAGGCTATGGTCTTTGATCTTCATCAATAAGTATTTGAAAAGTCCTCTTCACTTTCAGCAAGCAAAGCAAGGTTGTATCCTCTGCATATTCCAAGCTGTTAACGAGTCTTCCTCCTCCAATCCTGATGCCACGTTTTACTTCATATAATCCAGCTTCTTGGATTATTTGTTCAGCATACAGGTTGAATAAGTATGGTAAAAGAATACAACCGTGATGCACACTTTTCTTAATTTGAAACCATTCCTTGTCCCCTTGTTCTGTTCTAACAACTGCTTCTTGATCTAAATACAGGTTCCTCACAAGCACAATTCAGAATACTCATACTTCACAATGTCGTCCATAGGTTGTCAAGATTCACATAAACAAAAGCCTTTGCACTGAGTGGTATCCAATCTGTCTGGGCAGGGCTGATGACAGGAGATGGGGACAGGCCTCTCGTGGTGCAGTAGTGAAAAACTGGTACCAGGACTGACTGGGAGGTTGGAAATGTAAAGGTAGATGTTTTATAGCAAAAAAAGGGGAGTGGTTGACTTTGCAGTCCAGGAGCTGAGGTCCCTGGGACCATTCAAGGGAGAGGAGAGGAGTGTGGGACCCTACCCAGAGAAACAGTGACGCCAGAGATGGAGGCAGAGACAATGACGTAGAGCGATGGAGCGGCTGGGGACTCTAGACGCAGAGAGGGAGAGGGGCTGTGTGCTGACACCAAGGAAAAGGCTTGCAGGGTGTACCCTTTGGTTGTCTGATGATGAATGGAGGGGATTATAATCATGAAATGATATACGATAGGATGAATGCAAAGCTAATGTCAACTATCACATAATTCACAATAAAAACTTAAAATAAAAAAGAAAAGCCTTTGCGTAGTTAATGAAATACAAGTAAACATCTTTCTGGTAGTCTCTGCTTTCAGCCAAAATTCATCTGACATCATCAATGGTATCTCTCATTCCACATCCTCTTCTGAATCCAGCTTGAACATCTGCAAGTCCTCTGTCCATGTATAGTTGCAGCCATTTCTGTATTACCTTTATTAAAACTTAACTCGCATAGGATATCAACGATACTGTCCAATGAGTTCCACATTCCGTTGGATCATCTCTCTTTGGAATGAGCACAAATACGAATCTCCTCTGATCAGCTGACCAGGCAGCTGCCTTTCCAAGTTCTTGGTAAGCACTAATCTACTTTGTCTCTAGGCAATGACCTACTCAGATTATACAATTCTTTGTCCTCTTGAGGCTGGCTTATTTTACTTAGCATAATGTTTTCAAGGTTCATTCATGTTGAAATGTGTTCTTTAAGGCTGAGTACCATGCCATTGTGAGAAGAGAACCCATTTTATTGTCCGTTCACCCACGGATGGACATGAGGCTTGTCTCCACCTTTTGGCTATTGTGACTAAAGCTCCAATGAACGCTGGTGTACAGTGTCCTGCTTGCCTTCTTGTCTTCAATTCTTTTGGATATATACTTAGGAATAGTTGCTGGGTCATAATGGCAACCCTACGTTTGATATTCTTAAGAACTACCACACCTTTTCATTACTAGTGATACTATTTTACATTCCCCAAAGCAGTAGACAAGTGCCCCCATCTCTCCACTTCCTCAATACTTTTGACTTCCCATTATTTTGATATTAATCACCCTAAAAAGAGCTCTGGTAACGTAGCGCTTACGAATCGGGCTGCTAATCTCACAGTCAGCAGTTTGAAACTACCAGCTGTTCCGCGGGAGAAGATGAGGCTTTCTGCCTCCTGTAAAGATTTACAGCCTCGGAAACCCTGTAAAGGGTCGTTATGAGTCAGAACCGACTCCACGGCCCACAACAACAACAACAACCAGAAAGAAATCCTAGGGCGACACAGTAAGATGAGTACTGGACTGCTAACCACAAGGTCAGCGGTTCAAATCCACCAGATGCTTCTTAGAAACCCTACATGGGGTGGCAATGAGTCCAAAATGACTTGGAAGTACAATTAGGAGCCCTCATGTGGCACTGTAGGGTAAGCATTGGATTGCTAACAGAACGATCAGTTATTCAAACCCACCAATTACTCCTCGAAAACCCCACACAGGGTCGTTATGAATCAGACCCAATGTGAAAGTGCTTAACAACAAATGACCAATACCTTACCATGTTTATTAACCATTTATGTACTTCTTTGGAGAAAATGCCTATTCAGGAACGTGTCCATTTGAAAATTGGGATGTTTGTCATTATGTTGGGTTACAGGCATCTTTATGTATTCTGGACATTGAACCTTTACCTGAGAATTGGTTTCCACATTTTTTTCCTGTTCTGTAGGCTATATTTTCTTCTTCTTGAAAATATACCTTAACATACAAAGTTTTTAATTTCGACGAAGTCCAATTTACCTTTTTGTTTTGCTCATGCTCTTGGTTTCTTTACCTATAAATCCATTTCCGAAAAGAAACCCTTGAAGCTTTACTCCCATGTTTTCTTCAAGTTTGATCGTTTTAGATCTTATACCTAAGATCACAGATTCATCTTGAGTTGATTTTCATACAGAGTGAGGTGTGTGTCCAGATCCCCTTTTTTCCTGTGGATCTCTAGTTGGTGAAACACCATTCATTGAAAAGACAGCCACATGCAGAAGACTAAATACGGGCACATATTTGTGAAGTCTGTTTCTGGACTCGATTCTATACCACTGCTCTATGTCCATCCTTGTACGATACTGTCTTGACTTTATATGATGCTTTATATAACGTAGGTGCAAATGTGAGTGCACCTACGTTATAGTTTTCAGGACCATTTCAGCCATCCAGGGCCCCTCTGAGTTTAGAATTTGAGGACTGGTCTTTCTGTTTCTGCATAAAAAGCTATTGGGTTTGCACTGAGTCTGCACATTGCTTAGGGCAGTACTGACTGAACAATACTAAGTCTTCCACTATTCAAGAACACTGAGGTCTTTCTGTTTTATATTTAGGATTTTAATTCAGTACTCAAGGCTTCACCTCCCAGTGTGGTGTATCACAATGGCTTGTTGTACACCAGGTCTAAACCCACTGGGTTTAGACGGCACAGGGTTCTCAAGGCAGCAGGAAGGTGGGGCGCTCTCTGTGACCCCCCCTCCCCTCCCCTCAGCTCAGCCTCCTACCATCAGATCCGGAATGTTCTGTGCAGCCTTGCTGTGCTCCAGTGGGAGGACAACGGGCCTGAAATTGCTCTGATCATTCCTTCTTTCTCATCTACCATCCTCCCTTCATTTCTTGAGCCTCTGCTTCTTTTCCTGTTGACTTTAGGCCACACCGTGTTCATCAGTTCTCTCCGTCTCTGGCCCACAAACTTGATTCTCTTCAACTGTTTTCCTACGATCTTAAAACAGGCCACAGATTCCTGAGCAGCTGTCAGTGTTGGCTCTTGCTGGTCTATAGGCACTCAGTGCGTAACTTAACCAGTGAGAAAACTTACAAGCATCTGAAGACGTTCTCGGCTGCATTAAGGCCACATGTACCCACAGAAATTTCAGGACACTCGAAAGCTAAGGAATCCTCTTATCATTCTGAAGCCTTGACACCTTCACTCGAATAATGATTTGTCCAAAGCACTGACATGGGAATATGGTGGACCCTGCTGATCCTCCTTGAAAACAACATCCACAGTACCAGTAACAGCTACCACTTGTTGAGGGCATCCCAGACCCTGCAGTACGCCTGAGTCATCTGGTAACAAATACTTTCTGTGATGTATTCTAAGGAGGTCATCATGCTGCGAAGAAGAGAGGGTCAATACAAAAGAGGCAGATCCCAACACCAATGGGTTCAAATGTAACCATGGTGAGGATGATGCAGGGCCGGATGGGGCTTGTTCTGTTGTGCATGGAGTCGCTGTGAGTCAGAACCGACTCGACGACGCCTAATAACAACATGCTAAGGGTTAAGCTGCTACCCTTTAACATGTGAAGTCAAATCTGTGCAAATATAAATGGCTATTTCCAGCACCACAATAAAAATAAACAGAGCTGCAGACACTAAACATATACGTAAATTGTCTGTACTATAATACAGGGTTATAACCTACCATATAAGTTATCACTACCTTATTTTTATGGCAATAAACCAAAATTAAAATAAACATTTACAGTTAGTTCATAGCTTACCTAGAGAAAAATAATCCTTTGTTGTTGTTGTTATGTGCCGTGGAGTCGGTCCCGACACACAGCGACCCTGTATAGGGTTTCCGAGGCTGTAAATCTTTATGGGAGCAAAAAGCCTCATCTTTCTCCCACGGGACAGCTGGTAGTTTCGAACTGCTGACCCTGAGGTTCACAGCCCAATTCGTAACCACTATGCTACCAGAGCTCCTTATAGCTCTCTGAATTAAAATGTTCTTTGAAAAGGGTATTTATAAAGATAAAATGAAAATGCTCAAGGGAAACAAACTTCTATCAATCAGTAAATTATTCATTCCACCTGATGAGCTTCATGGAAAAAAGTCAGATAAAATTTCAAATTACCAAGAATTTAAAAGTAAAATGATGAAAGTCTCATAGACGGAAAAATATGAGGGGTCTTCAAAAATTTTGTGGAAAAATTCCAGGCTTTCATTTCATTTTCCACACACTTTTTAAAGCTCCCTCATATGTGGGCCAAGTATCTGCTTTCTGCTCCCATAAAGATTTACAGCCTCGGAAACCCTGTACAGGGTTGCTGTGTGTCGGAACTGACTCCACGGCACATAACACAATGGAGACAGAGTTGTATGCGTTGGTGTTCTGAAGTGCCATCGAGTCAGTTCTGACTCACGTGACCCTGTATAGTGTCTGTTGGGTTTGAACTGTCCACCTTTCGGTTAGTAGTCCATTGTTTCTCCTACAGTGCCACACCAGGATTCCAGCTGTACCTCTATCACATCAACAAAACCCAAAGGCTTGCAAGCCTCAAAACCCACCCAAACTAATGGATTAACTACAACTAGATCCCGGGTTAGCAGTGAGACCAAGTCCTGCATCTGTCAGAAGTGGCAGGTCAGTCCGACCCCTGCATCGGTTCTTCCTGCCATTACTATTATGCGGCCTGACGTTACGTTACTACCAGAACAAGCTGGAGTTAAATGAATTAAAAGCCACACATGCAGCAAGAGAAGGTGAATGTGATGAGGACTTTGTAGCAAGTCTGGCTGATTCAATTGCTTCAGTGAGGGCAAGTGTACGGAACATGAGAGCCCTGCTCCGAGACGGTGGCTGAATGTGCCGCCCTCCAGTCCTGCCAATGCCCCAGTCTCCCGTATCAGGTTCCGGAGCCTCCCATTCCGGGGCTGAGACCTGTTAGGGTTACCATGACGAAGCACCCACATTGGACGACTTCCAATCTGTCCTGCTTCACTTCCTCAGCCATGACAGAACAGGTCTGAGCCCTGCATTAAAGGCCAGTGGGAGCCGCACACAAGCTGGGGACGGCCTAAACAAACTCGGCACAAGACTTGTGAAAAACTGTGACAAAGAATCGTTAGTTCTTACATGTGAACAACTCCTACACACACCAAAGCTGTAAGTAAGAATATACCAGTAGTAAAATGAACAGAGGGCACAGAGAAAACTTACAAAGTAATAATCCATAGACAGTGTTCAATACTATAAACAAAACTTTTCACTCTAACAAACTTAAAATAACTTTTAAAAACTACCTTGACAATCAAATCAACATAGAAAAAACAACAGTCAAGGGTGTGAGGCAGGTTTTTCTCAAGTGCGCAGTGCCCATCTCTACCCGGTTGTCTCTACCCGGCACTGCTAAGTGAGGCTCCCCCTGAGCCTCCCACTAGTGGGACATGGAGGTGGCCATGGACACAGGGCACTGCTGCTCCTCAGGGCTCCATGTGCGGGCCGAGTCTCTCCTCCAAGCCCCTGCATGAATTCTGGCGGGCTTTCAGCAGAAGAAGACAGACATGACTGAATGCACAGAACACTGGTCTGGGTGTCTCTTCCAGCACTGGCCTCGCCTAACTGGACTCCTGGGCACCGGTTTCCTCTTCGGCCTCAGAACTGTTTCCCTCCCTCACACCAAGTGTTCCCAGCACCCAGAGTCCCTCTCTCTGCTCACACCGGCAGTGGTTCAGTGAGAAGTGCTTGCTCTCCCTTGGCCCCAGCCTGCAGTCGTGGGAACTTGTGGATGCCCTGGCCTCCTCTGAACCCACAGCCACACACAGCGCCAAACCACCGCACTGCCCACACAGCCCTCGGAGCGGACGCGAGTGCACACCAGACACACCTTGGGATCCACAAGGGCCCCCGCCTTGATGAGATATTTAACTGCATCCAGATGGTTGTTCTCGGCTGCCTCCATCAGCGGGGTCCGCTGGTCCTCGGAGCACGTGTCAATGTTGGCACCCGCCTGCAACACAGACAGGTGAGAGGGACTTGGGGAGGCGGTGCCTGCAGCCTCATGGAGAAAGAGTCTGTAAGCAGGTGGGATGGACAGATAGCAGCTGTTCCCGCCCCTCAGCTCTCTGCAAGGCTTGATTTCTCATCCAGGAATCCGGCCTCCTATCGTCTCCCACCATCCACCAGACACAGATCTGTCTCTGCATGGACTCAGGTTGCTCTGGTAAGACTGAGACCCACAAGCTGAGGGGCTTTCCTGCTGGTGAGGGAAGAGGAGAGGCCAGGATGGCGAGTGGGTGTGTCCAGGGGCCAGCAGGGCAGTCTTAGCCCTTCATGTCTTCGTCACTACCTTTGGTGTGCGCTAGCTACATGCTTGTTACAGACGAAAGCAGAAACCAAAGGAGAAGCCACACATGAGACATTCTTCTCCGGGAGACCGCAGGCGGGAAACAACCCTCTCTCATGACTGTAAACCCCGCAAGCAGCACCTAACCCTGGCCTCTGCAACAGGGCCCGCATGGCTCCTCCACCCCGCTGCCCCTGCCCCCGTGCCCTCGGAAATGTCAGGCACATCTTCTGCAAGCACAGGCCGCCTCCCACACCCATCACCGATTCATGGAGCTAGCGGGTGCCGAGGACACCTGGGGCCTCCAATGGGCACCACCTTAGGCCTGGCCCTGCTCCCAGCCCAGACAACGATCTCCCTTCAGGTCTGCAGGCCTACTGGGTGCCCCTTGGCCGCCTCATTGCCAAGAAGTGCCTGGCAGTACTTGGCACTGGGGATAGCAGGAACCGAGGTTCAAGTCACCTGGATCAGCATGTGGCAGACGTCCACGTGGCCAGCTTCTGCGGCAGCATGCAGTGGACATCTCTTGCTCTGGTGCTCCATCTTGAAGTTGGGGTCAATTCCGTCCACTGCAAACACATGTCTTCAGTGTTTGTACGCAGCTACCATGGAGGACCCCGTGCAGTCATGGGAGAGGAGTGGAGGGCAGGGCTAACGGGAGACCCGGGCAGCGTCGGGACAGGAGGGGAGTGGAGGCCAGGTTTAATGGGAGTCCCGTGCCATGCTGCGGTGACAGGCAGGCGGCCAGGGCACACTCACCCAGCATGAGCAGCACCTTCTGAAGCTCGCCCTGCCGGGCGGAGAAATACAACTGCTTCGGGTGGAAACGCAGCTTCTTGGGCCTGTGGGGAGCATGTGATGACGTCCCCACACCCACAGGCTGGCACCATGAGGCAAGCCACCCTGAGGAGGCAGAGCCCACGCCAGCACCTCTGGGCTGAGGACCACTCTGGACCCTCACCAGCTAACACTGCAGGGTCTACAGCAAGTACAGTGATCAGTCCACCCAAGAAATCCCGGGTGCCCCGTGATGTGGCTCTGCTCGGCTCAACCAATCCCAGGTCGAAGGCCAAGGAGAGGCCTGAACAGCAGTTCAGGGACACCTGGCAGACCGCCGCTGCCACTGGTGCTAAAAGAAGAGGGCCCGAGTGGCTCAGGGCTGAAGGGCTGCTTTTGCTTCAACATCCTGATGGGTATGGAAGTGGACACAAGGGGTCTGGCCAGTACTACCCTGTGGACAGGCAGATGGGCTCAAAGAAATGAAGCTGGTGCCAACACCAAGTGCTTGTGTCTGGCAGAAACACAAACGCAGCCCGCCCCACGTGGGCCCTTCCCAGAAAGTGAGGGTGGGCCGTGTGGCCGAGGGTCCCATGAGACACATCCAGAATGAGCAGAATAGTCCCCTGAAATAACACAGCCAAGCAGAGCCACAAGCGTCTAGGAGCTGACCTGCTGTGGAAGCCTGAATGTCCCACCTTGGGGGTGAGCCCTTACTTTTCTGAGTCCAGTGCGATCAGTGCACTCTCCAACGTCTCCTTGCCAGGCCCCTGGGGGAGGCCAGACGTGGACTTCACAGGTCCTGATGGTCCAGTCAGCTCGAAGCCCTCGGGGAGCTGCGGGGTACAGCTCTGTAGCTTCTCTCCCTCCAGGAGTTGGGGTCCAGCACTGCTGCAGGGAGGGAGAGAACGTGACCACTCCTGGAAACCCACACCCTCCACACACAGCCTTCTCCCTGATGGCCATGCACAAGGCAGCAGGGGCAGAGTCAGAGAGCCTGGGAAAGTCGTGTCCACAGACTTCCTGTTCGTATCTGCTTTGTGGATTGAACTTCAGGTTCCACCTATGCTACCCAGCAGCCGTCCCACCTGCACCAGGACGTGGGGTACTTGAAAGGAGGAATGGACGTCTGGAGACATCCACCACGTGAGTCTCTGAAATAGCCTCTGACTCTACTGTAGGAACAAAGCTGCTGACTGTGGTGGGTGCGGATTCCTCCTCATGCCAGGAGCCATCCAGCAATTTCTATGGACGCTTTTAGGAAACAACTGGTATCAGCACTCCTTCACCTGGGCCTTCAGGTGCAACGTCAGCTGAGCTGTCGACAAAAGATGCTGGGATGCTGCAGCTATGAGAGGAGGGTCAGGCTGACTCAGAGGAGACCATTGAGTCCAGAGCCAGCAAACTTCCGTGTTTCTGAAATATCAGTGTCAGTGTGTCTGAGAAACTTTAGATGGAGGAGTAGGAACAGAGTCCACTGCAGATGTCCAGAGCAGCCCACAGTGACCAGCAGCCCCTCTTCACTCCCCACCCGCCCTGACGCACCTGCCGGTGGTAGTGTCGGCCCTGCCCTCAACGGTGGCGGCCTTCTCGGGTCCGGGCCCCAGAGTCACGGTGGAGGTGGTGTCGGCCTTGGCGATGGTCACCTCCCTGGCCTTGGCAGCCTCCTCGCCGCAGTGGGGACAGTAGCTGGCATTATTGACACGAGAGACGCAGTCCTTGTGAAAACGATGGGAGACGCTGCTCTCGGGCTGGCACTCCATGAAATTACCCTGGGAAGGAGGAGCTTGCTCAGAGGGACAGCTGCCCCAGTCAGTGCCCTACAGGCCTTCCCACGAGCTGCTCAGAGGAAAGACTGCAGAGTGGCCTCATGCCCCTCAACAAGCAGAGGAAACCCTGGCTGTGAATTCTTAGAGTCATTCACCCCAGGCTCCTGAGGTCCAGCCTTGGACAGGCCAGAGCATGGGCTACAACAAGGCTCCAGGGGCAGCCATCCAGTGGCGCAGCGTAGTGGGCAGGGAGGCTTGAGGGGTGGGGCTGCTGCCCTGAGATTCTGTGCATGCCAACACTAACAGCCAGGGCCCACACTGCTGAGGGCTGAGGAAAAGGCCTGCCCACTACTCATCCTGACAGCTCCCACCCTGCACCTTGTTGCCTGTTTTACCAATCTACCAAGGGCTCTTGGGAACGAAGAGGGAAAACTGAAGGTGAAAGACAGGACACGTACACGTGAACAGGACTGGTGTTGAAGATGTAACATGAAAACGTGGGGGTGGGTTTACAAACTTCTAACTTAGCAAGATTAGGTGAGGGAGAAATAAGAGCAGGTGCCCTGTGATCACTCCCAGAACAGAAACCAGGGCAATGACCATCATCTTTATAAGAACTCAAGGGCGTGGGTGGGTTGGTGTCCCCAGGAGGCTGGGGAGGGCAGCGGTGGGCAATGACCCCAGGAGAGTCAAGTTACTCCGGTTTGTACTGTTTTCTAAGAGAGGTTTATGACATTAGTGCATGTCTGAGAACGCATCAGTGTGGACTTCTAAACGGAAGCAAGTATCCCCGCCCCCTTCCACCAGGCACCATGCCCCACCTCTGACCCCGCCTCCTTTCTGGCCCCACCCACCAGACACAGCCAATCCACTATTGAGCCCGCTCCTCAGCTGTTTCCTGCCCGGTCCCCTGGCTCCCGCCACCAGGCACCAAAGTTGGTATGATAGGTCTCCAGGCTTGTTTCGTTCACACAAATACACTGCTGGAATTCCCACTATCAGTCTCTAATCTGAGGTCCGAGGATACGAATGCAAGCTCAGGACCTTGCAGGTGCGTGTGCCCTCCCGGTCGTTTCTCCGTCATGATGGTGGTGGCTGTGTGCCTGAAGTCAGCACTGATTACAGCGACCCTGTACAGGGTTTCCAAGGCTGTACATCTTTACGGGAGCAGAAAGCCTCAGCTTTCTAAGGAGGGACTGCTGACTGTGATTTTAGGAGGCCAACTCATAACCACTACCGTATCAGAGCCACCCTATGTAGAGTTTCTGAGGCTGTAAATCCTCATGGAAGCAAGAAAGTCTCATCTTTCTCCTGTGGAGAAGCTGGTGGATTTGAACTGCTGACCTTCCAGTTTTTGCAAGTCAACTCATAACCCACCAGCTCTGCAGTGGCTTCCGTTCCCTGATCCCATCCCCCTTACGGGGAAATTCAGCACACCCTGGCGCAATCACATGAGGAGCTGAGCATATATCCCCACCAGCACCAGCCACACCCAGACTACAGAAATGGGGGGCAGCACTGTTTAGTGCTTACCCTGAACTCGGACAGGAAGCTCACAGGTGTGTGTGGGAGGTCAGTCACAGGGACTGACTTCGGCCCCGGGAAACACAGCACGTGTAAGAAGAGGCAAGGACTGGGTGGGACACTGCATGGGAGTGCTCACTAACGCCAACCTGTAGGGAGTGACCACTAACTCTGACCTGTAGGGAGTGACCACTAACACCAACCTGCAGGGAGTGCTCACTAACGCCAACCTGTAGGGAGTAACCACTAATGCCAACCTGTAGGGAGTGACCACTAATGCCAACCTGTAGGGAGTGTTCACTAACGCCAACCTGTAGGGAGTGACCACTAACTCTGACCTGTAGGGAGTGTTCACTAATGCCAACACTCCCACGAGGAAATGATACATCAGCCCACAGGTGGTACAATATCGGAGGAGAAACAGAATCCATCTCATGCCACCAGGACTTCAAATATGGGAGAGGGAATCAAAGTTTGTGGGAGACTTCTATTCTCTTTAACTTCCATTCTCCATGAAGGCAGAAGGCCCAAGCAGCAGCTCATCCACTAGACACAAGGAGAGGTCACACCACCATAACAGAGAAGACACCTGCTCAGGGACTCAGACAAGTCCTCCCAGGAAGGTGGCTTCCAACAATGGTCCCAACACAAACAAGGGCTCGGAAGCGAGTTTATGACAGGAAATCCAAAACTGTCCTTCAGTTCCAGCAGTGCCACCCCTAACAGGCCTCCCTAAGGTGCCGCTCAGCCCTGACACTGGTAGCACCTCCAGCCCCTCCAGCTGCTGTGGGACTGGACACCTGGCCGGGGTACCAGCAAGTGCTCTCCACTCAGGCCACAGCCCAGAGTCATTCCCCGGTCATCCTCCCACTGACTGAGCATAGAGCCAAGACACAGTATCTTGAGGGGTCTGCCCTGTCCACCTCTTTTCTCCATCTGCACCAACAGGAAGCTGGGTGACCTAGGAGTAGGGGAGAGGCAGCAGAAGAGCGTGTCCTGACAGGCCGGCTGGACTCGAATGTGCAAAGCCCCCGAGTAGTCCCCTGGGCATCTTGAGTGCGGGGAATCTGAGGTGGACACCAAGTCCTGGCAAAACTTCTGGTCAGACTGACACATTGGTCTCCATGAGCACCGGCTGGACGCAGACACACGTGTCTCTGTGAGTGATGGCCAGGCATGAGGTCACCAACAGAGAAGGGACAGGAGGTAAGGGAATGAGAGGGCTGTGCAGACTCAGTGGGTGGGTGGGCGGGCGAGGGGCCCGAGGCTGCCCGATGGGTGAGAGGCGAGTGCACCAAGCCCCATGAGCCTCTGGGCGTAGACTTACCGCTGTGCAAAAGTAGCCACAGCCCGGGCAGCACTGGTGCTTCACCATCCGGGCCCTGTGGTCCTCACAGAGCACCAGCAGCGGAGCTCTGTTAGATGGTCGCATCAGCTCAAACTTGGCCACGCTGTTGGCACACCGGCCCAGCTGCAGACAGACGGATAAACAGACATGGGCTGCAGTGAGGCTAAGCCTGCCCACTTAGCACTGTGGCCTGCTGATTCAGCTGACAAAACACGGGGGAGCCTCGTCCCACCCAGCACAAGTCGGACTCAAGGGAGAGCACGCCAGGACATTCGTTCTCAACTGCCAGGAAGCCGCGCCATCCGTCTCTGTGAGTCCAGTGTCTGTGTGAGAGCTGTTCCCTCAGGCAAAACCGAGGGCCATGTCACAGGGAGTTGAGAACCCCCACACACGGCGGTGAAGACTGAGGCAGGGCCAAGAACCATGCTCTGCGAGCATTCGCACAAGAGAACCCTAGCCATACCTACCACTCTCGGCAGCATGCCTGTCTGCTGTATGGCTCTCACAGCCCAACAGCAGAAGACGCAGCAAATGTGGTAACTAGCCAACAGAGAAGACAGACCAATGCCCCAAAAGAAATGACAAAAGGTTCAGAAGCGCCCGCTTTGGGGGAAGAGAGTCTTCCGATGCTGCCGCCTTTGCCAAGCAATTTGGAAACACGTGCTTGCAAATGCATAATTTTTAAAGCCCCACCTGAAGGTCAAATTGAACGCGTGTGCACATGTATCTAGAAGTCCTCCAACAGACGTGACGGCATGCACCGAAGTCCACGCTCACACAGGAATGAAATGGCTGAGCACCCAAGGACTCGCGTGTTCCTGCAGAGTCCTGGAACCCCCCGCCAGCAGACAGCACCAACACTCGGCCAGTGACCAGGAGGGCATGGGTGGAGGGTTGCTCTCGAAACAGCAGACACTTGTTATTTGGGGTGATGGGAGGCACCACACCAATGTGGGTGATGTAGATACAACAGCCTGACATCGGCAAACGAGGTCACTCCAATGTACACAGCAAGAAAGGCCTGGTCATTGTTGGGGCTACAACAACGGGCCCAAAGACAATCGTGAGGATGGCACAGGACCGGGCAGGGTTGGTTCTGCTGTGCATAGGCGGGTATGCATGGGAACCAACTCCGCAGCACCTGACCAACATGACATGACATCAATGGGAGAAAGACGAGGCTTTCTGTCCCTATAAAGAGTTAGTGTTTCGGAGACCCTATGGATAGGAATTGGACTCGGTGGCAGCAGGCTTGCTTTTTTTTCACGGCATATACAGTTTTGCAACAAAAGCAACGACAACCAAAAACTGTGAGAGTCGGACCGTATGTTTGTACTTGGCCACAACGGAACCAAGAGCTCGGAGCAAGTTTATGACAGGAAATCCACAACTCTCCTTCTGCTATAGCAAAGGCAGGTCCCATCTCAGGCCACAGCCCGTGAGCCATGGGGAAGCAAGGTGTCAAGGAGGCTGTGTTTGTGGACCCCCAACCAGCAGAACCCCAATGACCCTGAGGTGCTGCGGGAGAGACCTGGAGGACCCTCCAATGTGCAAGAAAAGCTGTAGGGCCACAGCAGGTTGGGGAGAGCAGGAAGGAGGAAGCTCGCACCCAGTTACCCTCAAAATCAAAACTTCAGGCTCCTCTGACTCTCCTACAAGTGACTGGGGATAGACACCAAAGAGCTTCTGTTCATGTGGGTTGTAGCTACTGAGATTTATCGTTTAGATATTAAAAGAGAACCTTAAAAAAATACAGACTGATTTGTTGATTGATTGAAAAATACTGCTAACCCTATCACCGGGAGTGCAGTGGCTCTGTAGGGTAAACACTGGACCAGGATCCACAAGGTTGGATGTTTGAGAGCCCACCAGCTGCTCTGTGGAAGAATGAGGTGTTCTGCTCCCGCAGACAGCCTTGGAAACCCTCTACAGGGTTGTTAAGAGTTGGAACCGACTTGATAGAACCCAACACCACCACCATCTACCGTCAAGAAGTTTCCAAACCACTCTGTGTGAACAGAACCAAGAAAGCTCAGAAAGGAACCACATTTTCACTACTCGCAAAAGCCAGCGAAGAGGGAGCTCTGTGGAGTTAGGGAAGCTTTACTAAAGAAAGTTCTAGCACACACGAACAGCAGACAGTAATGGGAACAAATCTCCTGGAAAAGTAAGAAAAAGGGGAGCAGAGGAGAAGCAGCAACGGCAGACAATGAAGCACCCACAAAACAACTACAACCTGCTGCTTCAAAGTGCGTGAGCAGCTGTTAGCAAGACGATACAAGCGATGAAACCACAACATAAGCAAGAGATTAAAACTCAGACAAAATGATAGAACTCTGAAAACAATCAGAAATAAATTAGTCATTTCAGTTTAAACCCAAAGGAAACGAAAACCATAAGGAATAAGGAGTCACACAGAAGTTAAGAGCTACCGAAGGCCGCCTATCACAGACAGAATTCCTGAAGAAAATGAAACACGAAAAGCTAACTTTTAAGAAAATGTTCCAGGCATTTAAAAATATTGATACTATAATCTGAAGAAGAAAAGCTACAAGCAACTTCGTCCGAAGAAAACGGAGTGAGAACCAGAGTCTACACTCAGCAAAAAGGGTCATGGCCACCAGACCATCCGACCCCCCAAACAAAAACATTTCCCACCTGAGCCACTGGGGGTGGCGGGCTCTGGAAAGACTTGGAATGTTCTCAGTTCAGCTACTGTTGTGGTGCGGAGGAAGCTGCTGTGGGACACGGATGAGAGGAAACAAGTGGGGTGTTTATGGGGTACACGACCGAGAGAACGAGAATCCTCAGGTAGAAGAAGCAAACCCCAAACCAAACCCACTGCCACTGAGCCAGTCCTGACTCACAGTGACCCTTCAGGACAGAAGAGAGAAGCTCCGTGGGGACCAATAACTGTGCTCTCCCTCCCTCAGAGTGGCTAGTGGGTTTGAAGTGCCGACCTTAAGGGTAGCAGCCCAATGCTCAGCTCACAGTGCCACCAGACACCGATACAATGAGGTTAAGAAGTGGAGGGATGGAGACACAATTCGGGGTGCTGTAGCTCTCTCTCCCTCTCACCTCTATGCACATATATCCACTGGCCTAAAACAATGACGAATTCAGCAGTCACCAACATTTCCTACCATGTCGATTGTAGTCTCAAAATGAAACCTGTTCTACAGAGAGCCAAGGGCACCTGTCCCAGGGAGAACCAGGGGAATAAAGTCCTGTCAAGAGGACTCAGGGCAGGCTGAAGGTATCCCACGGACCAAAGAGAGGGCACCTCAAGCTCCAAAAATAATAACACGTATTATTAAAATCCATCCAATATATGTATTCCAACAAGCCTTTACAAGAGTTGGGCAGCTTCAGAAGATGATGGAGAAGTGACTCATTATCGGAATGGCTGGGAAACCAAGACAGACTGGAACATCTAATGCCCCGTCTCTCCTCTCTGAATGCACCACGGGAAATGGGATGGCCTCTAAACTGATTTCCATTAGTCAGTGCTAAGTAGGGACAATACTGGATGAGTGTCATGTGAAAATTCAGTGTGCCAATGCCACAGGCATGGCTAGCTGCTCATCTGGAGAAACACGGGCACGCTCCAACTAGGCCCCTGCACAAGAGAGCTAGAGCCCACATGGGGGAACCTCTGGCCTGGGCTCTTTCAGAGAGACTGAAGTGAATGAGAGGGACACACACGGACGGTCCACTCTCTGAAAACAAAGTCCAAACATGGGAGGGAGGGGCCTGACTCAGGACTTGGGAAGGGTGAGGGGTGAGCTGGGGGACAGGCCAAGTCCTCTTTCTTGAACTTGGTTACCAGAGGGATGGATCACTTTACACTAACTCATTCATTCATACACTTGTCTTGTGAGGTTTTCTGGATTCATGTCTCATTTTACAAACAAAAACAACACATTGGGTACAACACAGACCTTGAGTCTCTATGGATGTGAGGGGAGAGGAGGAGAGTGGGAAGAGAAACAGAACCTGTGGAGGTGGTGTTTACAGACAGAGAGCTGCTGGCTCCCCATGTCTGGGTCACCCAGTAGCCTGTTGAATTGAGGGGAGGTTCTTCTCTTCCAAAGGCTGGACTCCTGGGGTGGCACCGTAGCGTAAGCACTGGACTGCAAACCACAAGGTTGATGGTTCAACACACCAGCTGCTCCTCAGAAGGCCTGCACAGGGGCGCTATGATCCGGGATCTACTCAACAGCGCTTAACAACGACAGGATGGATTCTAACAATGCTCGCTTACGAAGGGATGTCAGTACGTCAGGGAAAGGCTGAGGGAGGGTCTCCCCAAAGCCCCTTGTCCAATAAGCACCACTCCTGATGTACACAACACAGGGGGCTCAAGTGCCACCTCTAAAGCATTCCAGTCAGAAGACCCCTGGGTCTCCTCCAGTCTCCACATCTCACTTCTCAGAGATGAGGGGGAAGCCACACAGGAAAGCCAGCTATACCTCCACTCTGGTTTACCCAGCTTTTTCAACAGCATAGAAACAGGAGGAGAAAGTGTGTCTGAGTCAGAGAGATTGCATAAGAAATGTTTTTTCCTAAGGAGACACACATGCTGAAACGCTGAGGGCTTTGCTGAGACCATGGGCCAGAAGCAAGCGCATGGAAACTGCTTTCCTCTGGTTCAAAATGGGCTCAGATGAGCCAGCAGTTCAGAAGGCTCCCTACGTTCTCTCCTTGGGCTTCACAAAAACTTGGGAGTAAAATTCAACATAAAAGCCTGGCGGGAGCCCGTGAAGAGGCCAGACATGAGCATCAGAGCGCTGTTCTTGGATACGGCCCAGACACCAGGTCAAGGCAACATGGGAATGTGGGCATGACATCTGTTACATATGAACATCCAGAGGGAGGCAGCCAGAGCACGAGTCACATGATTCTAAAACCACAGGGAAACCCAGATCCAACACCTGTGATCTCACTCGAGTGGCAGCCGCATAAACCAATCAGCAAAAGGCAGGGCAGGGGATAGGTGGGCACATGGTCCCCTTCCAGGCCTCACCTCAGAAGCTCTGATACGCACCTTGAGGGGGCCACAAAATGACCTGAAAGAGCTTCTCCAGCCACAGTCCATGAGATGCCCAGAGGGCAGCCCCCTTCCCCCCTCCACTGTCCAGCCACAGTCCGCGAGATGCCCAGAGGGCAGCCCCCTTCCCCCCTCCACTGTCCAGC